GGCAAGGACCTAAGTGGTCAAACAGCAGAAGACCCTGGAATCCTGCCCGCGAACAATCAACTTTTCAGGAACATTCATCAATACGGGCGGACGGGTTACAGTGAAGATGCGCATGCTAAGGCAGCGTCCGCCTTGTACTTTTGTGTGTGTGTGTGCGCGTGACAAATTACGTGATAATGCTAAGGAAAACAACCCGGTTCATCAAAGTGACACACCCAAAGAACTTTTAAAATGAGACAAACATGAAACCTGACCCAAGCGTACTTTTGAATGCACTCAGAACTATGTGCCTTAAACACTATCTGCAGTCCCTTGGCCTGCAAAGAAAGCTCCGATGGCCAGAAGTCCAATTCCTTCAAGTGAAAACAACTTGTATATGCTGATGAGCAGGATTTTCAGCACGATCAAAACCTGATATTAAAATGGCGTACCCAGAACCACGTAAAGAATTAAGAAGATGGCCGCACCTATTTATCGTTGGGAATGTCCTTCCTGACCTTCATCTACCTATGCTTTGACTGTGGCTCAGCTGTATTTGCTTTCGTTGAGTTCCCCCTGAATAACACAACAAACATATGCACCATCACACGCGGATATGATGCAGCTGTCTTCAGGAGGGGTCTTAAACTTGAAAAGGTACAATTCAATCCTTTGGAAGCACCAGGCCTCTTCACTTCGAAAGGGTTGATCAAGATGATGACCAGCACGAACACGACGAAGCACCCGGCAATTGCGCCGATGCGCCACATCCGCACGTGCTCCCAGTTCACAGGCTCGGATTTGGGCGCCTGACAAGAATTACCCCGATCCTGATCAGTGTGGTTGCTACAGCAATAGCATGGACGGGTAGCCGGGCTAACCCTATATTCTAATTGAACTAGACTGCTCATTTTGACCATGGCCTGTTGTTTTGAACCACGAAACTTTCGGTGCCCTCTGGTCGTCGCAGTTTGTAAGGCATGTAGTTGACGTCACCCGTGTTTGAGAATCCCCCTCGGGGCTACCTCCGCTAGATTGATGAAACTTGGAAAGATAATTGTTGGTCAAAATCCCCCGCCTTCTGCCTCTTTCCCACACGCTGCATCACCTCCGACAGAACGTGAGCGGCCAACTGGTCGCCTCCACAAGCTGGGGATGTGGGACCCCAAATGAAAACAGGCCCGGCCCTGGCTCTGCATGCCACGGGCAAAATGCACGACTCTGACACGAGCATTGTACCGCGGAATGTGACAGTGCAACGGCGTGGATATTTCTGTCTGACACAAGACAACATGCAGAGTCTTCGGATGTCCTCATGCCAAAGCCCATGTCTGACCTGCAAACCCCTAAGATGGTCGACACTCTCTTCCTGCCAGCCAGAATCTTGCTTTCATGTGTTGAATGGAACGAATGTAACCCTTCCATCATGCAATGTAAGCCGCTTCCAAAATTACTGTTATTGGTCTTTGAGGGCTTTTGGTCATGAATGTAGTTTTTAGTCTCTTCCTGCAGTCTTCCTGTATGCAGTCTTCCAATAGCTTGTTAGCAGTCTTGTAGGCTTCTTGTAGTGTTCCCGTAGTCTTGCAGACTTCCCGTAGTCTTCGGGTATTTCTGCAGCCTTCCCGCAATCTTCCGGTTGCTCCTCATTGATAAGCGCAAGGCAGTGGGAAAGGCCAAGAGCAAGGGCGCCCCAGCGGCCAAACCCAAGGCAAAGGCGAAGGGCACCCGGAGGAAGAGTGTGGTGGAGTGGTGAAACCTACAACCTCGTCGAGCTCTGCTACAGCAGGTGGTGCAGGCAGTCTGGCGCTGTGGAAAATTTGGAGATGCAGCAGCCGGAGACGCAAGAACCCATAGAGAATTGCTCTTTCTCACGATTTCCATTCCCGTGCCACACGCGCACGCATGTTTCTCGTATGCGTTCATTATTTCTTAGTCTTGCATTTGCCAGAGCTACCTGCCAATCAGCGTCTGTAAAATGGAAGTTCCGTCCGAACTTCCTTTGATGAACAGTTTTAGCAGTAGCTCGCTTGGTGACCAACCAACAACAGGCCTCAGTTCAGGGGTCTGTGGTTTGAGATCGACACGGAGACAGCCTCTATCAGTCAGAGGTCAAAACGCTCTGTCACAAAATGATTCACGCCACGCTGTTTGGGGATGTGGAGAGGCATCCAATCTCAGCTCTATTCACCGGCAGTCCGTGTAAACAATTTGCGTCTGCTTGTCTACATCAAGCAAACATCACGCGGCAGGGTACTCCTGGCCTCTGATTTCAAGGCGCCCCTTGCGCATCGCAGTAAACGCATCCAGCGTGCCCTTGCCCATGGCCACAAGATCCTCGTCCAACATACCTCAAGAGCGCTGCATACTGGCTGCATCACACAGATTGTTGCACGACGCCTACAGCGCGCTGTTTGCAAGCTTGACGACCCTCCTCTCGTGGGAACAGTCAAGTGTCAGTGTGTGAGAATGGTGCGTTTGTTGTTCTGTTGGGCGCCCGCCACTTGCAAATATGGGTGATGAGCAACCATTCGCAGTCTTTTCTTCATCATAAACCTTGAGAAGAAGTTGGCCCGCTGCAGCGTTCATCACTAAAACCATCATTGGGTGTTGTCAACTTGAACGGTTTTCAGCGCCAAAACAACATTGCATGCTCTCGAGCACACATGGATATAAACATACAGTATGTCTGTTACTTTATGGTAGCCTGCCTGCAATTGCAAACTTGCAGGCAAGAGTCTTGCACACTGCACACACACACAATCAATAAAATGAAGCTTATCAAGAATGTGCTGAACTAAAGGAGCCCGCTCTCTCCAAGCGAACGCGTTGGCGAACAGAAGCGGGCCGAAAACGTGGAGCTGTGCGTGAGTTCGGCTTGTCAGCACGTGCGCAAACTACCTCCGTCGCGAAAGCTGAATTGAGAGAGAGAGAGAGAGGGCGGGAAGAATAAGTTTCAAACCAGTTGCCCCTTGTATTGATTTGAAACTTCCACCCCACGGCTATGCCGGATTTTACTGGCGTAATTCGGTGTAAAAAAAAAAAATCGCCGGATTACCAGCCCGAACTACCTTTGCCACGACATCTATTAAGCCCGACGAGGCGCGTGCCTGCTCCGGAGTAGTTGCGAATCCAGAATCTCAACACGCTATATCGATACTGCTGGACTACGCTGCTAAACAATGAAAACTATACAACATCTAGAAGATTTGTGAGGCAACACTCAAGATCACTCAAACCCCTCATCTTGCTGCGGTTCTCAGCAGTGATAGAGGTTATTCGCTCATCCCCTGCTGGGAACGAGCAAGTTATGGGCACCTTGGGTTTATCGACTTCGACAAGCGGGAACTCCATCGCCGGGCCGCTGAAGGTACAGTCCGCCGTGGCATCGTGGCCAGGCCGCAGGGACCCCGAGCCATGCTTCAGGTCCAAGACAAAAAGGCCCTGGCCGTCAGCGTGTCCGAGCAATCTCGCGTGCTCCGAATGTCTTTTGCAGCTTGACTGATCCCTGCCCTGCCTGGTGTCCGCAGTCGCGGAGATGGAACTGGTAGACATAACCTGCTGGAGAAGTGTGCAGCTTGGAGCCTTTGGGTTTGCCGAATCTGTTGCAAATATACAACATTACAAACAGCTGGAGCCACCGACTAATTACCTAAAGGGGATTCAATCAATTACGATACCTGAGTCACCGGGTGGTGACAGTGCCGCAACCCGGCAAGGGGGTTTGCAGAAACGATGCCGTGTCTTGACTTTTGTTTGTGATCCGTGGATGCGACATGGAACGCTCACGAACGATGGAGCAGCAGCGGACATTGCCATGAGGCTCAATCTTGCTTCACACCTGTTGTCTCACATTCAACAATAACAAACTTGAGAAATGCCGCATTTCTGACAAACGGGGGGGGGTGTTCTGAAATCGTTTGTTTCGAAACAGCCATTCTTCGCGAAACAAACTGCGAGTCTTTCACCGATTCATCGCCATACAATTGAAGTTGCTAGAGCCAGTAAGTTGCAATATTAAAGCAAGTGTAGTACACGAAATGCACTTCTGCAGCTTCGGCTGGAAAGTCGCAATGTTAAGTACAAGTGAAGTATGCAAAATGCACTTCCGCAACTCCAGCTGGAAAGCCGCAACTTTTGCCACCGACTTAGAGCACACATGCACACACATTTGGAGCACTAGACAGCTAAGCAGGGTATCAAACTGTAGCCTCACCGGGCCTCATCACCTAAAGGAGCAAACCGCAAAAGCAGCAAAGAACCCGAATCATCTATGGAAGGAAGGCTCATCAGAAAAATGCTCTGCATGCTTTCACATGGAACAAACTTACAGAATGACCGTTACGCAAAACTTCCGCGATGCGAGCCTGCCCATGCCAATGAGAGTACATTATATAAGTGGTCCGAGGAGTTTGTCGCCGTGACTGAGATGAAAAATGGCAACGGTGGGGCGGAAACTGCGCAGGCTTGTGTTTTGCGCAGGCGCATTGGTTTGCCGGGCCGATTGTTTCTGCCTGAAACTGCCTAAAACTACTCCGTCAAAAAAGGGCTTTCTCATTGTTGCCCCAGCCTGTCTCGTTGGTTGATTGCCGTTTCGGGTGTTGTAGTTGCGTTTTGGGCAGGCGTAGCGGCGCAATCGCTTGTTGGCGCCTGCTCCGCGTAGCAATGGGCGCAAGGCGCCAATTAAAAACTGCGTCTTGCCCCCAGTGCACTGATGTCCACCAACACCGTCCACCCCTTCTCTGGCCTGATTGGCGCACAAAGGACTCCCCTGAACTTTCCAGAGCTTGGGAAATCTGCTCCAGCAGCGCCCGGCAAAGCAAGCCCTCGCCCAGCGCCATGGCGTCATAGGCAGCTGCGCAACTTGCGTGCCTTTACTTTGAATCCTTGCTGGAGGAATAGGGAGAGAAAAAGAAGCCTGATACCCCGAGCCATAGGTTGCGCGAAGATAAATTTACTAGAGGGTAAAGCCAGAAGAAAGAGCATGCTGAACATCAAGCCCTAGATCCACTTTTTGGGTGACTATCTTGAGCCACTGGCTTGCAGACTGCTGGCTGGGATACGCAACGTATCTCGAAACGAACAAGCCAGATGCGCTGACGCCACGTTCATGGCAAGTCTGCGTGACGTGCTTGGAAATCGGCTAGCGTAGATGCGGCCAGCCGTGCGCAGCCTCAACGACGCTCGGCGGCGCTCTGCGGCCCGGTGAGCGCTTTCGGAGACCGAGCTGCGCAGAAACGCGTGCTGCTCAGCTTTGGCAGCTCAGCCTACTATAGTCGCTGCCTCCTTCCACTGCAAGGACAACGCAACAGCCAGCGGCGGTTGTTCTGCGGCAGCTCAGGGGAGCATAGTTTCTCACATGTCGCGCAGCGCCGAACAATACACGGGTGCATCTAATGATGGCGAGGCAGCGTGCAAAGCAATGCTGGCAAGTCAGCCGCAGCTCTGCTTGGCTCAGGAATGGTCAGCGGGAGTATCGCAATTTCCATATTTGGTTTCATATCCCTGTACCTTGCTTCTATGTCACGGTAGAGGGGCAGGCTCTTTCACAAATTCGAATAATAGAGACCCCAAATGTCAAATACAACATCTACTTGACAAGGCGAACTCCATGCTCATGCGAAGAAACCTTTGGCATCAACAAGAAACACTCCAACATAAGATGCGAATCAAGGGTACATTCAAGGATTGCTGCGACGAGTATGGATCGCAGGCAAGGGCCGCAGCTATACATGGGTCGAAGGCTGCAGGCGTGAACCAAATGGAACATGCGTGGATCCGGCCCTTTGATCCATACACTCGGCGGCGAAAGTCAGTGCACGACAGCTTCCACAAGCAAACCTGCATGAGACGCAAGCGCATTCACGAAGTCAGAGAAGTCAGTGCAAAACTTGCCAAATCCCACTGTGACGCAGTATGTCAAGATGCCCGTTTGTAAGCACTAATTTGGACGCGGCATGTGTAAATCCCACTGTGGCGCAGTATGTCAAGATGTCCGTTTTTACGCACTAATTTGGACGTACGGCGTGTAAATCCCACTGTGACGAGGTCTAAACGAGGTCTGAACGAGGTCTAAACGAGGCCCGAACGAGGTCCAGAGACTGGGGGGACACAATCCTTACTCACAAAGTTGAACAAGGAGAACCCAACTCTCGTTTGTTTAGCTGACTTGGCGCTCTCAGTCTCTTGGCCAGAGGCAGCGTGCCATTGCGTGTGACGGGAACGGCCCTTAACATTCAACAGCGCCTTCTAGAGTTGGGTGTAACGCCGCGCTCAAAACCGGCACTCTCCAAAAACACTGCCTCCAGTCCGCTTGCAAAGTTCGCTCAAACCTCAATGGTATGACAAGATGTCTGCTCACACAAAATCTTGCAGCATGGAATTCAACTTCAACAGTAACCAAATATATATATATATATATATGTAACCCCCCAGCAGGACGCAAGCCGCACCGTCCTCCTGAATCAGCACCCTGCATGGCACACGAAGTTGGACGCAAACGCGCTGATTTTCACCGGAGAGTGTACCTGATATTTTGAGCTGCCAACTTATGATCGGCCAAGCCCGCCTCTCGGTCCTTTTATGCGCACTGCTCACACATGACCTGCCACATCAAAGGTTGGCGCTGGTCAGCCTTTTAAACGATCAGGTCTCGTGAGATTCGCCCTCTCTGATCGGCACGTTGGCCAACCTTCATTGGTACCCACAGCAGCGCTCGATATCCGCTAGCATTGGCCACCTGCTCGTACTCAATGCGGAGAATGGCCCAAAAGGTTCGTCGAAAGATTTCGGCCACCGTCATGAACATGTGGAGGACCTCTCGAACAACCTGGCATCATGTTGGCAGCACAGGGATTGAATCGAACAAAATGAACTAGCACCAGTCGACTTGTTAAACAATGCCAATGCTGCTCCATGCATCTAGAACAGTGATCACTTGCAAAATGTTGCTGTCGTGGCCAGCAACCACATCTGTCCCGAGGAGCGTGATGGGCATAAGCGTTATAACCCAGGTGAGGCGCAAGGTAACGTCCCCCAGCACCGCAATGCCTCGGCTGCTTCAGAATGGAGCCATACTATGCCGTCTCCACAACATCACACATCATGCTCGTCTTTTGGTTCAAATCATCATATAATCTTTGCCAACAGTCAATAGTAAACACATGAAGCAACCCGCCCCTGATCCGGTAAATATGCCAGCTCGTGGAATCGGAACAAGCTGCACGCTTGCCTTGTCAAACCAATCTGACAGTATGACTCGTCCCTTTTATTTACAAATAATTTGCTGGACACTACAGCGAGCTAAACGTCAAAGAGCTAAACAGGAGCAGCAGGTTGGATACTGTTCTTGACCCCGGACAGGCAAAAAACAAGAACTCTGCGGCAGGCTTCCAAGGTCAGACCGTTTGAGCAATGAGCCAGCATCATAGCAGCAAAGATGTCAAAGTGATTGAAGACAACATGATATCTGGCAGTTACTTCTCCGATTTCAATGAGTTGGCCATCATTGGATTGTAGCAAGCATGCAGAAGTAGTGGCATGCGCACCCTTAGCTTGAAAGCCCCAAGAACGTGTTCTGTGGTCTTTCAAGAGCGGTTGACAGTAGGCCAGGTAGGCCAGCTCAAGACAACAAACCACGGGCTGAATTCAAGGCAAGCTGAACCAGCTGACAGCTTTTCTGAAGGCTTGGATTCAGGCGCCTTCCCTACCAAGAGAACGCCGCAAATGGGGCGAACGCCTTGCCTTGTCCAAGACATCTCCGCAGATCAAAGTGAACAACCCTCCCCTCTGGCTTTGTGGTTCGTACAGAATGCTGCCCAATCAACTTTCCTAAATCCTTCCTTGCCAGGGCACAGTAGGTCCTGGGAGCAAAGTGCCGGTGATAGTTCTTGGATGGAGAGGCGTGTGTAGAGCGCCCCAGGTAGGTGGTCCCGGGAGACGGGGGCTCCTGAAGGTCGCACTCGCTGGGGCTAAGCCGCAGCTGCGAACCACTGCGAGCCGCACGCCCAAAGAGGCTCAGCTCCTAGCGAGCGAAACATGGTTCATCTTTGGTTTCCACCGGCTACCTGCTTTGTTAGCTCGCTGGATGGTAGCCACAGTTACAACCCACCGACCATGGTTGCAAGTGCCCTAAGCGGCTTATAACCACTCAACTTAGCTCGGCCAGCGGTAGGGGCAACAGAAACCGCAAAAGGAGCAGCAAAGGCAATAAATACACCATGCCAGGCCACTGGAGCTACAATGAGAATCAAAACCTCATGGACCATGGAACTGCAACAAATCCAAACAAGACAGCCTCGGCCGGTGCAGAACACAACTCATCCAACTCCCCGGCAAGAAACAAGACGACTTCCAAACACGGCTGACCCCACCGGTATGGCCGAAAAAGAAAAAACGGGCGACGGATCTGGCCCGGTTATGGCTATCGAACCATTAAAACAACCCAAAACTTGAGTGGAACTTTGTCGCTGTTGCAAGTCAAACGCTGTAAGAGAGCTGCACTCAATCCTAAGAACGCAATTTGTCCACGTTCAGCTGGGGAGAGTGCCATCTTCAAGGAGAATCTTTAGCAGTACCATTTCGATTCACATCCCATCAACACTTGTGCAGCAGGAGCAAACATATAGGGAGCAGCAACACCTGCAGCCAGACTGTCAGACTGCCAAACTGCGCAAAGTAATTATCTGAATGACTCATCTTAATCTGTGTTTCAAACATTGCACACCCCACCAAACAAATCTCCATGAGTCGCCCGGTTTCAAGCGAATGCACAGGGTGTCAAAGGTCAGAAAGTTCTGCAGTTCCTGTCCTGACAGCCGAGGCCCCAGTCCATGCGGACATCCCACCAGGCTGCGTAGAACGTAGCAAATGCCGACACCACAATCACCACCCAGGTGGGGTAAGCTAAGCGGCTCACAGCGACCACCAGCAAGCTCGCGGCATACTTGCCCATGTTTAGCAAGTGGCGTCTTTGGCCTCGCACCGCAAACTAAAAGAAATGCATGTTGTTGGGGGAAACAAACGTTCACAAGCTTCAGCCGGCAGACATTCATTTCTTTCAGCTGAATGCAACTTCCGTAATTCAGGATTGGCAGTGATTTCCAAGCAGCGGTTTTTCAGCTGTGACGCTGTGATATACACAATATGCAACTATTGCATGTAAAGCATACTTCTTGCACACACACACACACTGGAGATGAAACAGGACAGATTTCGCTGCACCGGCAAGCCAGACAAGCGTTTTTACAATAGGGCGCTGAACAACGCACTTGAGCGGCCAAGGCGCGAGTATCATAGTATCGCCTGGCACATTGGAGTAGGCGAAAGAACGAAGGCAAGCCCGCAATAATCGGCGACAACACCTGCACAGAGCTGTAATCGAAAATCAGTCTCAGCGGGTGGCATGAGCCTGTCTGTGTCAGCTTATGTGGCCTGTCCATTGCCTGCATGTTTATGTGCCTGCATGTTCGCCTGGGCAACAGTATGGCTTGCATCACCGTCTAAGTGTCTGAGTGTCTGCGTGGCCCGAGCAAGCCGGGCCATTGTTGAGGCTTGGCCACCAAGCCGCTATCGAATGGCACATCATGAATCACGTGTCACGCATGGTGGATGCCAACAGGTGGTTGATCAGCTTGCCAGCAACGTGATCCCTGAACTGGCCCGAACCGGCTCGCTCGAGCAATGCTTGCCGGATACTTCCAGTTGTGCTGACCAGCATGTTGTAGGGAAAAATATGCTCAAACATGAACAAACGGGTCATCCACCAACACCCTGCCACCTTGGTCGAGCTTACAAAGGCGCCGCTGTTGCTGGGCGGGGCGCCATATGCTCCCAGGTGGGGCAGGTGTTGCTCTGCTTTAGGAACCGCTCAATGGAGTCCGGGGTCTGTGGGTGGTGCGAACCTCAGCTGATTGCCAGCTGAGACAGAGCCTGAGGTGTTTAGGGCTTGGAAGGTTTGGGTCTTCAGTTGAAAACAATGTAAGCCGCTTTCCAGTTGGCTGCCAGTCTTGAGGAATGTTGATAGTGCTGCATTGGTCATGAATCCCCCACGAGCCAAAAAAGTAAATGAGGTAAACTCTAATGGGCACGAGTCATTGAGCAATGATGCACATGGCAGTGCTAAGTCCGAAGTAATTACCCTCAAAGGGGGAACGTTAAGCTCATTCTACGCCTCGTGATATCTGATGCAAACAGGCCTAATTCCACGAGGGCTGAGCCTGAACTCAGACTTCCTGTAGCACCTACCTTCCACCAGAGTGGAAACTCCCGCAGCCCCATTGGACAAAGTTGGGGGAAGCGGACCGCTGGGAAAAATGATGCACGTGAACAACACAAAAGGTGCAAACCGCTCGGTTGCCTTTGGAGAGAAAACAATGAGATTTGACTGAGTCTGCGCTGATATTCTAGCCTTGTGACTGGTTCGTTCGTAATGTCCAATATTTTCAATGATTAACACACCAATACCCCATTGATGCGCATACGCATATCTTTCAATATATTCACGACATCGTCATTGGAATAGTACCATGCCTTTTATATGGGTGTGGGTCACTATTCTGGTGTGGAACGTTCCGCGGTGGAACGAGTCAGTTACGTAAGGTTGGTTGTTCCGGACCTCTGGGAAGACATGTGTGGAGTCCTCAAGCACAGTTCATTTAGTGTAAGATGGATAGATGGATGGATAAATTGATGGATGGGTAGATGGATGGATGAAGCGACCAGGGGCGCGCAGCCTTACCATACGGCACCTCCTTGAAGGCTTCTTGGGCCGCGTAAGAAGTGCAGCTACTTACATGGAGCATGTGTGCGCATGTGGGCTTGGTGGCAAATTGCTCCGCTGCGTCTGGAACACGTCTGGAACGGGTCTGGAACGGGGTCTGGAACGGTTACGCGAGTGGCTTGCACTTGGGAATGCTAGCAAGCAGCATGTAAACATGGTCGTTTCAACCATGTGACGACTGAGAGCGGTATCGAACCGTTACCGTATCGTATCGAACAAATAGCGGCGGGGTCGACCCTAAACACATCTGACAACAGAACCGCTGCCCAATTCCATCCAAGTCCCAATGATTACAAGCCTGACCGTCTGAATCAATACTCTAAACTAGACACATACATAAACAAGGTCTGGAACGGAAGGTCTGGAACATGTTTCTAGGCAAGGTCTGGAACGGAGGTCTGGAACGGAGGTCTGGATCGCATGTGGGTTCCGGACCCTGTTCCGGACCTTATAAATTGACTCGCAGCCATATCAATATCCTTGATGCCGTGAGGCTATGTCACGGTTTTGTCCTGGAAAACCCGCTATGAATATATCATGGAATCATGCAGGCTTGCAAGTGGGGGGCAAAACCATGTCATTGACAATGAGAACAGGAAACTTCGGTGAGCATTGCATTGTCCTCGATCACGGCATGCCACCTGCTCTTGTGTCGGTACCAGTATGCCAGCTGAACACATGGCATGCCTAACTAGCTGCGAGTGTCAGTACCATAATGCTAGGAAGCGCAGTCAAACCATCTTTCCAACATCCCGGCGACCCGGTGTTGGTGTGCATGTGAATTCTTGATCAAAATCAGTATGTTGATCAGGTACACACGCACGCACGCACGCACGCACGCACGCACGCGCCCACACACACACACACACACACGAGCACAACATCCAGTGCGGGCTCTTAGAGGCCCAAGGGGAAATAAATACCTTGAAATACATGGCAGGACACGAATAGCCCACACAACTTGCTTGCCATCAAAAGGCTCAGGTAGCAGATGGCCGCTGGCACGTCCTGCGAGCGAAGATGTGCGCCAAGTGCAAATGAACTCACGAGTAGCATGGACCTCCCAAGCTGCTCCATCCGCCAGTGTGGCTCATAAAGGTCTACCTCAAAATAAAACAGGTTGGCTCCCCTGACATGAAACGATTAACATGATCGGGGAACAAGGCTTGTCCAGCACCTTGGAATGTATGGTCCACCTCTCGCTGGCATGCCGTGAATCTATGCTCCACGCATGGTCCAGCCAAGCTTATACCCAAATGGGAGGCAGAAAGTCAACGCCCCGACGCCCAGAAGAGGTCCCGCAGTGGTCGAGCCAGGCTGGTGAGCACATCACCTCGCCATTGGTGCCCAGAATGGTGTTTCTCAAAATGGGGGTCTCCCAAATGTTTGGCTTCCTTTGGGCTTCCCTTTAAATACTATGATACCACCTAAAAACAGATTCACCATGTTGAGAAACTCCCACATTGGTGCCCGCACATGTTGTTCAGTGAGGAGACATGAGCACTTTAAGGTTGGTGGATGCTCTTCATTTGAAAAGCTCGAGAAGCCTCCAGAAGACTAAATACTAAGCTAAACACCACGCAGGACTCAAGGCAACCATCCCGACAACTTAGAGAAAAAATCGTGCCGCCAAAATCATGGGATATGAATTTGAAACCGCAGGTCACTTGAGCGCGGGGTGTTCCGAATGAAACAGCCTCCTGGATCCTACAAAAGCAGAAAAAAGTCATTCTTGCCGCCCCCTTTTGCTTCTCCCATATGGACAGGCAGTATCGGACGAAATTGCTCGGCTGTTGCATTGGTTGCCATTCAATGGACAGTCAAATGTGTGCAACAAGCCACCACACAATTACGTATTCCTAACGCGGCAAAAACATGAGCAGTTATCTTGTTCTGTTGTGGCCCAATGCTGCGCAAGTTTAGTTGTCCTTTCCAAATCAACAACAACTGATTGAGAATGTCAGTAGCCCAAATGGAGCCAAGCAGAATTGCACTGGTAAACTCAACGCTCACAACATGCTCCTTCATCTCCTTCCCAAAGGCAGGAAACTGATGTCAACCGACTCGTGCAATGCAGGCAACTGCCAAAGTTGTGCCAACGAAAGTGCGCATAGACCGCACAAAATTCGGGATACACATGCACGCCACCATAGCCATTCTCTCGATGCGTGCAGAGACTAGGCAGTTCACATCAGGTCAAGCATTCCTTCTTGCATTTGACAAAAGGTGCGCCGCGTGAACTTCTCAATTACAACATTCGCAAATGGCCATGACCTAAACAAAATAGAGCACATTTCTCAAATTCTCTAAATTTGTCCGCAGCCAAATCATCAGGTACAAGGATGCTTTCGGTTGTCCCCCTAGCCACCTTCTTGTGTCCGATAACTAAACAAATGCATCCACTAGTTGGTGGTCATTAGATTGTTTCCGTCTGCTACAAGGACTCGCACATGTCTGCCAAAGTCACCAATCATGTTGTCTCCAAAGTGCACCGCGTAGAAGGGAGCCTCAATCAGTGCCAGGACAGAGTGGGTATGTTCAAACCATTTCAGCCTCTACTTGATACATGCTTCAACTTGGCTGCCCTTAGAGGGCCAGTGTTCCAAAGGAGGATTCGGAGAAGTTCTCATTGCCAACCTGGATATCTCAAGATGACAGACGCCGGAAAGTTATTGATGGAGGGCCCCATACCAGATTTGCAAGACAATGCGGATGAAAGGGGTGGGTTCCGTAGCTTTCTAGTCCCACCCACGTCAAACGTAGCAAGTTGGCCGATGAAATTTACAGTAGCTTGTTATGACTTCCCTTCCTTGATTGCCAAAGCAAAATTAGTGTCAACACCGGAAAAGGCAACCAGTTCCAAAAGCGTTCCCTTGTAAGATGATGTATTGTCCAGGTAATTCAACCGAGGTCATCAGTTGCCAGCCGATCCCAACCAGCTTGAACCAGTAGAAAACTCCCAATATTCCCTTGCCAAATACAAGAGGATGATCACACCTTAATAGGGATCTATAAAACATAATAAACAAACATGGCATAGCTGCAGTTGAACATGTTGCCCCTAATGTAGACAAACAAAAAAAACATCAAGCCTCGTATTTTGATGGATATGAAGGAATTCTACAACGCATACCAGCTGATCCTAATCAATGTATTGGAAAGAAAGTATGTTAAAATTACATCAAATAACATTGTACAAACAAGTAATTCTCGTCAGTCACTCTTGGCACGCCGCACACCCCGAGAAAATCATGCGCTGTGGGACGCGTCAAATACGTCAGTATTATCTGCCAGGTCCCCTTTTGGTGTGCTATGAAAGGGCCGCCAACTTTTTGGGGTGCCCCTCGAGCTCACTTGCCAAACCCAGGCCTTTTGCTCGAGCGGCGTTTTTCGCCAACCTGAGCTTCGCACCAGGCAGGTGCGGCCCAGGCCCCCCAGGAGCTGCATCTGCGAGCTTCGGGAGTGGAATGTTCTCAAAGGCTACCCGGAGAGAAACCTCTGAGTTTCCTTAAAATAGATGGGGGGCCGCCGGAAAACATGTTTGGTGCAAACCTTATCCTTCAGGAAAATGGCGTGGTTGCCCAGATTGGCTTCTTGCTTTGATTTTTTTGAAACCATCTCACAGCGGGTCCGGGGTCCCTTCCCATTCTGACATATCCGCGAGTCAGTTGTGGTTGGTGGATCATGTGCGCGATTTCTGCGGGATGATCGATTCTGAGCAAATGCACTCAAATGTCCAAACACCCAAGAACCGGCTCAGAACTTTCAGGCGGAGCTTCCAAAAGGCATGTCAAAGGAGGCACTCTTTTCTGTCTATTAGCAGTTAAAGCGGGTATCACTGAACGGTATCACGAGTATTGCCGAGCGGAATGGTGCGGGTAAAGAAATGGTGCTGTAGTGTTGCATCATTTCATGTTTGGACAAACTTGGGCTGCATGTGTTTGCCTGAAAAGCTCCACTTCGCTGCTTTCAAGTTCATAACAGGTGATTGCATTTGATTGCGTTGACCAGCCTCAGCCTAAACCACAAGAAAATTATTGGAATAAAGAAGCTTCCCTCCCCCGCCCTCCACATCAGGAAGCTGCCCGGGAAGCATGCCCCTCAGCAATCACATGACCTTTAACACAGCATACTGCGACATGTCGCGCATCAACCACCGTGATCTGTTTAACTGTGGTCCTTTTCCCCTATTCATAGGTCTCCATAATACCCCCCAAAAAAACAATGTTCTCGGAAATCCCAAATCCGAGAAAACTACTTTTAAAATAGGCCAATATACTAAACCAATTCTAAAAGTAGGTATTTTCCCGCCCGTACTCAAATCCAGCCCTATTAGGGGGATTCGGGGGTACGTTTCCTTTAATACGGTTGTACTACAAGTTGCGACTTTCGAGCCGGAGCTCCGGGAGAATGTGTCCTTTACTACGGCTGTACTTACAAAGTTGCGACTTTCGAGCCGGAGCTCCGGGAGTACGTTTCCTTTACTATGGCTGTGCCACAAAGTTGCGACTTTCGAGCCGGAGCTCCGGGAGTATGTTTCCTTTACTAGAGTTGCAGCAAAACCCACAGCAACAAAAAACAAACATGACCACGGCTTCTGCTGCTTAAATTCCTTATTAAAAAAATGTGATTGATGCGACGTTGCTGCCCGGAAAGGGGGGTCGCAGTTGCAGCAAAACTTGCACAGAACAAGTACCTCCAAAACCCGCCCTCCAGAACCAAAGACCGCCTAACAATAAACATTGTTTTGCCGGCAGGATTTTTTAATTAGCCTGTTATAGCCTGTTATTATTAGAGGGAAGGGATTACATTCCGAAGTCGCAAACGGTCACTCCTACCAGCGAGTCTTTCAGCGGGCTTTGCACACTTGTCTTCTTCATCCTCCTTCTCCTCTTCTTCTTGCAGCCAACATGACCAAAACGGCAAAACAAGTTCTCAGGCAGCCTGCGACAGTCATTCTATCTGCTTGCTACTCATTACCCATGCTGGAGCATTCCAGTCACTGTCCAGAAAAAAAGCCAGATGACGATCAGGCTATCCATAGCAAGCTGAAGCAAGCTAATGCCCGCGACCGCTACCAGCTTGCCTTGTACCTGATTCTGCAGATCGAAGAGGGCCGCAAAAGCAACGTGATGGTAATTCCTGCAAGGCAGGCACATGTGTGTGTGTGTGTGTGTGTCTGTCTGTCTGTCTGTCTGTCTGTCTGTCTGTCTGTCTGTCTGTCTGTCTCTGTCTCTGCCTGCCTGCCTGCCTGCCTGCCTGTCTGCCTGTGTGTCTGTCTGTTTGCCTGTCTGTCTGTCTGTCTGTCTGTGAGTGTGTGTGTGTGTGTCATGTTCCATGTCCATCATTCGGAACCAGCCCTAAACATTATAGTCCCCGTGCCAGTTATCTGCTGAAACAGCTGAAAAGCGCCATGTCTCCACTCCCATTCCCTGGGCCCGCCTAAGAGTGCAACTGGGTATAGAACGTAATGCCAAGAAGTGCGCTCCAAGTGCGTGGATGATGACCAAACCTCGGTCATGCCGAATGTGTACGAAAGCCCTCAACATGCCCTCTCTATGCGCCAGGACTGTAAAGTGTGTCTTGAGCTGAAGGGTGATCCTCATTTACATGTGTATTTTTTTCATAATTGTGGTTGCCCTTGGTGCCTCTGCGAAAAGTGAAGCAACAATCTGGTGCGATTTGTCATTGCATGTGGCTGAAAGCGTCTTAGGAATATGTTGACAAACAAATTAAAGCAGTGACTGTGCTTGGGACAGCAACCCTTGGAACTGTAACCAAAGCGACGCACTTGGCACGTTCTTTTGGCGTTCCCCCACAACACCCAAAAAGGGGCGCCCTCAAGCAAACACACGCCCACCATGAGGCTAGAGCTCGTGCGGGCGCCTTTTTCGGGCCGCGGGCGCGAGAGCTCGCCGTCCTATCGCGGCCCTTTTTACATTAGTGCACCATGGAGCGCACGTCGAGGCGGCAAAGCGTGATCCTGGGTCGCAGTCTATGGTCTGGGGACCTCTCGGGGATGAGGGGCGATATGTCAACTGCTAGGGTGATCAGAAGCCCTAGACACTGGGTGACCCATGTGGAAATTGATCTGAAGCTGGGCGCTAGGCCACGTTGCGGATGCACACCAGCTGCCACACAGCCAAAAATAACCAACGCCGATTGAATTGTGTGGAAGTTTATGGCGGTCAGTTTCAAGGCATTGTCCTTCACGACAGCCACGAAGCGTGATGTAAGCTGCAACTTGGGGATTCAAATTTATGCAACCATTCCCTCCTTGGACTCAGGGAAAATGAACAAAGAACAGTGCAACTGGCTTCTGCCTTCCTCCTGAGCGCCTTGCGCCCCCAGGATCCGTTCTGGAAGCGCATCGCTGTTTAGGCCCTGGCACAAAGTCGCTTGCTCCGAAACTGCATCCACAAGCCATCACGGCACCCTGATGCTTACGAGGACTTCACTCCAGCACTATTTGCTCCAGAATCATCTTTTGTCAACCTAAATCTACAGGCAAATCTGCATGGTTGGAATGAGTAATCAAGGCCCCCAGCCCAGCGAAATTCGACTCTCGCTTTGTTGCCATGCGCTTCCGGCCAGTAAGCTGAAACTCCCCCAAGGGATCACCAGGCGGCGTACGTGGGACTCCGCCCAGACTAAACTCCAAATGAAACTGGCCCGTGTCCGAGAGTCGGTGGCTGCAAATGAGCTGCCGCCAAAACCCTTATGCGCGAAACTGAAATATTGTCTCTAAAGCCTTCGTTTTAAAGACTCGCTATTGTTTTTGGGGGTGTTGGACCCTATTCCACTCCAATACATATCCCTTGTTCCGACCCTTTTGGTGGTAGCTCAAATAGATTTCTGTTCTGGCCACAACCCTTCGAAGGCCTCTTCGAACTTCTGTACAAGTGGCGTAAGCGCTGGAGCTGCGAAATTGTCGCCGCGGCCAACAGCGCCAGAGCTCGGACACTAAACATGTGCCATTACCTCATGTGCGCCTGGGAAAGAGACAATACACATGTAGCATGTAATATATAGACAACACCTCAAAGTGAAACGTTTGTTTTTGTGCGATCTTCAATTCGTCGAGCGCTTCCACAGGCTCGCTGCTGAGCACACAGCAACTCAGTGGTCGCGATTGGCACGTGCAGCTTGGGCAGATCCAAGTGAGTAGCGCTTGGGGTGGAGACCTCAAATGCAGACTGTGTCCCTCTCTCCAGAACAGCCTCAAAGCAGCCCAAAGCATGCGTGATCATGCGTAGGCAAAAACCAAAGTCGAAACAAATGCCGGGCCGGGCGCCAAGGGCGGCAAATCTGCTGCTGTTCAGCAGCCGCACTCCAGTCCACATCGTGTCCTCTGCCATCCTGGAAAGGACGAAAGTTGAAACTTTAAGAAGCATTCACAAAACAAACGCACTCGTGTCGTCGGCCAAACCCTGTGACTGCAGGCCACACAACAATTCCAACCAATCCAAGGATCGCAGCCGGTCCAAAGCGCTGCTCCTGGTCAAAAGTCAGGATCGGCACAACCCATGGACAACAATCAACAACTGCCATGGTTCCAATACAATAAGATGTTTGGGAAATACCTGCCTCAGCCTCCTGGAGATAGTTCTCACAGTGTGCCTTGCAGTAGAAGACGCTTTCCTGCGATGACTGACAAAGTCTTGCAAGCAACAATCAGCCAGGAATTTTGCACACTGCGCATGTTGGGAATACTGCGACAGAAACACACAAAAACATGCCCGTCGAAAGGTGAACCAATGAATCGGGGGAATCCATGAAACGAAGTCAGCATCGGCCTGGATTCTCTCGCCTTGCGTCTTCGCGCGATGCTTGACGCACCAAGCTTTTGCACAGGAAACTGGACAATTTGCACAATTTCACGCTTCACTACAGGGACAACTGCAGTCACGATCAAGAAACCCACAAGTTCCTCAAGTCTCTCACCTGCTTTGCTCATTTGAATTCGCTGTCCTCGCTGCTGCTGCAGGCGCTTGTGCTTTGGCGGGAGGGCCCCTCCTGAGCCTGCACGTCGTCCTCCGAGGACAGGCCTGGCTCCTGGCCGATGTTTGGCATCACTTGCCTTGAATGTGGCATGTGCGAAACTGCCTCTTTGCAAGTTGCAATTCCGGGGAATGCGCCGACTAGAGACGGCGTGTTGGACACAAGAAATTCCAGGAGCCTTTCCAACAAATGAGGAAGTTGCAAACAAAAGCTGCTCACGTCCCCAGCTAGGGAAGCCAACTTGAACAAGCGGCCAAAGTCCATAAAAAGAGGAAGTTGCACCAAAAAGAAAACACATATTCCCAGCCGGGCGAGAGAACTTGAACAAGCGGAGGCAAAGCAAAAGGCCCTATCCAAGTCCTGCAAAAACAAATCAAACAGAAGGAGTTGAAGCAAAAGGATACTGCAACACACGAAGCATCATCAGAAAGGATCTTGCTTGCATCAGTAGCAGCCCTGCCCATTAGTTGTGGGAAGCTTTACAAACAAAACAGAGGCAGATACAAACAACAACTAACCGGACAGAGTTTGATTGCATCAGCAGCACCCCAATCCATCACTTCTGGGGACCCTTCCAAAAGACGAGGAAGTTGAAGCTACACTGCGCATATCCCCAGCTAGGGAAGAGAACTTGAACCAACCTAGCAAACCAAAGGCTCCTATTCAAGTCCTGTGGGGACCTTTGAAATGGAAACAGTACAAACAAAAGAGTAAAGCAAGAAGCATTAGGACAAAGCTTGCTTGCATGAGTCGCACCCACCTCCATCACTTGTTGGGCGGTTTCCAACCCGAACAGAGGTTGCAAACAAAAACCACACTCACCTTCAGCAAACAAGCTGCATCAGCAGAGCAAAGCTTGACTGCATCAGCAGCACCCGCGTCTATCACACACACACACACACCGCTTCTTAACTGCTTCCATGGCAACACACGCTGCGCGTAAAACCGCAAGCAAGAACGAATCGGCCCCACACCTATCTCCGCTCATTACACACAGCTGCGTGTGCGAATTTATTACTGCTGTCCTGTGGCAAGAGACATGAAACAACCAGGTCGAACGAAAGGTCCCTTCGAAAACGGGGCTTCTCAGCTTCCGTATTCGCTGGAACTGTAAGACGCAGTTCAGAGAACAGGCCTGTAATGTCGGCGGCCTGAGCCGGAGGCGTTAATGTTGCGGGCTGGCAAATGCCTTCTGAGCTGGGCTTTTCGAGGCCGGACTCTTTCTCGGTTGGCAAGGCCAACAGAATGACACCCGGCTAGCTATGCAGCGCCGTCCTCACGGATGTCAGTGCCAGTTGGCACATCTTGAAAGCTCTGGTCGGGGTCCGTAGTCTCCTGCCAAATCAACATGATTCAAGCATGGGCACGTGCGTCGCACAAGAGCAGCAGGAGCCGCGTGAGCTCCAGCAAATGACTTTTCCACATCTGGCCGACAATATAGATGTGCAAAAACATGCTCGGCCGTACATTGTGTTCTTCAGCGTCCGTGGAAGATTTGGGCTTGCCCACAAATTCCGCTCATTGTAGTGTGCTGTTTGCAAAACCCTTTTGTCTCAGGTGCCAAGCTCTGAAGGAAATGTCTCACTTCGCTCCTCATCTGAGCTCTCCGGAGCTGTTGGAGCAATCGGAGCAATCTTGGCCTTTGCCTGCTTCCGCCAAAGCCGGCGCAGGCGGATGCCCTGCGCGCCAGCTGCACGACACGATTGACCGATCAACCCGTGTGAGCCTCAATCTCGTCCTTGAGAGCGTCGCGCTCCTGCCATGCATTTGCGACGACCCATCCAAAGAAGTCCGCTCTACTTTTGCTCGACCGATCTGCACAATTGACCAACATGTGTGGGGCAGCAGGGCTATCGTGCCCACACACTCCTTCTCCAAGCTGCGCTTGTCCTTCTCCAGCTTGCCGATGAGCACTTCAAGGTTAGCCCTTAGCTTGGTTGACAAATTCTTATCAATGTAGCGACCATGCCGTTCTCCACTCGGCCATCCAAACATATTGAAATGAGATTGACATGACGTGGCAGGGGACATTTTTAAGAGGAAGGTAAACTGGCACTGTCCGACTTCGGAGGGTGCGGCTGAACATTCAATCACATCAGGCAGTTGGCTTGCACACTTTAACGCGACTCATTACGCTTGCTGCCACGGTTCCTATCAACCTCCCAGTGGAGGATGGGTCCCACCGCCATCAAAAGGTCAATGTGGTTCTTCTCCGCTTTCTCCCTGGGCAAAAATACAAAAACACCACTTTTTGCAAAGCGAGCTTGTGCGCTAGGGACCAGAGATGGTGCAACATGCGACAAAGCAAGAAGCGGCCTCTTTGGTGAGAAGGCGGGAACCGTTGGCATGAGCTATGCCAAGAATGGGAAACAGCGTCGAGCAACACCACATCGAACAACACTCAACAAATATAGATCTGTGCCCTATCTCTACGTCGAGAAAAGAAAGCAAAGCAACCAAACAGCACAACGTCTCCCTGGTCTGTGAACAGGTTTTCCCACCACGCGCCTT